ATATATAAAAATACTATACGTAAAATGTGATTGTATGCTCCTAAATGTGATGATGTGATGTAGCACTGTGATGGTCTTTAACTTATAGGGGGTTATTCACAAAGCTGCCGAAGGAAGCAGCCGAGTGAATAACCCAGCCGAAGTTAACAGAGCTGAATGACGTTCGGCTATTTTTTTCAGCCCTGTACGGCTGATTTTAGCGGTACATCAGCTGCCTTCGGTCAGACGAACATGCTCAGCATGTTTGGCTGAGCCAAAGTGCAGAAGGAGTTCGACTCAGCCGATCCAACATCTGGATTGGCTGAGCCGAAGCTCTGGCAGCTCACTCGCTGCCGTTCTCCCCTATTCTCATAGGGGTCAAAACGGCAGTGAGTGAATAGCTGAATGCCGCAGAGCGGCATTTGGCTTGGCTATTCTGCTCGCTATCTCCGAGGTAGCGAGCAGAATAGAAAAAAAGGAAACAAATGAAAGAAAAAAATTATAATTTAAATAAAATGTCTTATAGTATTATAAGAGATAATAATTATAAGAGAGGAACAAATAAGCAGGTTATTAGTGAAATACAAGGGACACTTTATAGAGTATTGAAAGTTAAAGACAAATTTATGTAAAAAAGAAATCATGAAGCAATTTTTGAATAAAACCACACATTGTTCTAAAACAGGGGCGCCCACTATTTTTCATCTGGAGATCTAGCGATGCTGTTGACTTCAATACCGCTCCACACCCCAACCCGCACCTTAACGCAAGGAGTCGGCCGGCTTACATTCCAGTGCGCCCTACATGTCCCGGCGTCCTGTCCTCCCGTGGTGCTCGTGTGGCCGACGTTGCACATGGGGTGTCCTGCACCTTTCCATCTGCAGCGTCTGACACATTCAGCCGGCAGCCGCACGAGCACCACGGGAGCATAGCCGTAGCCAGCTCCTTTTGCGCCTGAGGCAAGAAAAAAAACAACGTTTTTTAAATTTATTTTTTGTTCACTCACAGGTTTTAGTAAGGGACACAATTCACCTTGATGGTACCTTGATGATAAGTGATTTTCACATATACAGTGATACCTTGGTTTACGAGCATAGTTCATTCCGGAAGCATGCTTGTAATCCAAAGCGCTTGTATATCAAGGCAAACATTTTCAGAAATGTTTGCTTGTCTTGCAAAACACTCTCAAACCAAGTTACTTGTAAACCAAGGTATTACTGTATCAGCAGACATATGTTTACAGTGATTCTAACAAGGCAACAGGCACTAAGTCCCATTTGCTGGTTGGTGGAGTTGAGCGTTAGATAACTTTTTTTACTTATTGTATAGTACTGTCCTTCCCGAATATACCTCTCCCTAATCTTTATAAATCATTTGAAGCTTAAAGTGTGAAGATATTTATTAATATGCTTTAAATTGGAACAACTAAATGTACAGTCTGTGCTGCTGTATAAATATAGCCAACAAAATTTGTATGATATATGAGCTAGGTTTTTGTATCGTTTGCAGTTGCTGAGGATTTTGTATGCATTTTTCTTTATTGTTATCATGTAAATACATTTCCTAAATAGATGCTGGTAAAACCTATGAACAAAAATGTCAGTAGAATTAAATACAAGACAAACATATTGTTTAGATTGGTAGATCTCTAACGAGAAGTGCCCTCCTTACCAACTTGTCTTGATTTGTATTGTAACTGTAATGTGTTCCTTATATTGTAAAGCGCTGTGCAAACTGTTGGCTATATATAAATCCTGTATTGTAATGATAATAACATATCCAAAGCATGTCGTCTTTTTTTCCCCAGAAAAGCCAGAAGTTTATAAATTATTGCCAAATGCACAAACCTTCAATAAAAAAGGTTCCATTTAGAAAAGGGTTTACAACAGGCCCACGGAGCTCTTTTAAATAGAACTGGTTATATGTTTCTTATATTGTTTTTACCTTTCTTTGTACAGGAAAAATCAAACACATGTTTTCAAGTGGAGACTTTGAACCACTCACAAAGCTTGTTTTGGTCAACGCTATTTATTTCAAAGGGGAGTGGGAACACAAGTTTAGTTCAGACGCCACTTACCCACAAGACTTCACGGTAAAGAAGGGCAATGTAACCAAGATACCAATGATGCATCTCCAAACAGCAACAAAGATTGGTAATTCAAGTGTTCCAGAAAAAAAATGTTTAGTATATAGTACAGTTAACAAATTTTGATGCTGCTTTTAACAGATGGGGCAGCAATGAAGCAGAAACACCCAAAAGCTATGTTTTATGTTTAATCCAATCTGTTCAAGAACGGAATGTAACTGCCTGTAGTCTGTAGACAACCTAGCTATTAAATACAGATTCTATCCACAATCAGGCTCAGCTTGCTGGACTGTGATATATTTTGCTATTGTGTATACTAAAAAAATCCATACAGAAAGAGCTTCAAGTTGCATCTGACCTCAGCCATGATTAAGGGTCCATTCACACCAGATGCATTGGGGCTGCGTTGGTCGTTTTGTCCAGCGCAGCACCAACGCAAGACAATGGCAATTTGCCTTGTCACAGAAGGACACCATTCAAACCACCGCATTGCGGTGGGAACACGGTGGTGTGCGCTGGAACAAAGTACGGCATGCAGTACTTTTTTTTCCAGAGAAGCACCATGTGGAACAGTACGCTGACACGTTGTCTGTAGAACTGAATGAAGTGTCACTTGTGACATTTCAATAAAGTTCTAAAAAAAAAGTGCACAGCGCAATGTGCTGGGATCGGCATACCAGCACTGTGCCAGGCTGGTGTAAATGGGTCCTCAGTCACCCTAACCACCTTGGAGGCTCCCTGGTAGTAGTATTGTTTGCTTTTTAATATACTGATCTCAGTTATGAGCAGTGTGGGGTCCTCTTCTGCATAAGATCTACTGTGTTGGGTGGTCCTCAATGAGGCAGAGAGTGGTGAAGATTTCATCACTGCACTGTGAGTGCAGGATGCTGTGGTAGCACCTTCTCAGGATGGATCCATTACTTCTTGCCCTCAAAGAATATCCTCAGCCTTCCAGGCTGTTATTCATCTTGAAAGACTGAGAACGTGGGGAGAAAAGAATTAATGTGGGGGGCAGTGCCAGAGAGGAGGTTAATATTGGAACCAGAGCAGTTTAAACCCCTGCTAGGGGACTATTTAAAAAATATGTCTGGAAATGGGCCTTAAATCTCCATAACATCTGCATTGTGCTGCATCTGAAGTCAATAAACATCACCATGGAGGAATCTACAAATGTGCATCACTTAATGGAAATAACAAATGACTCCCTTATCTTAGTGCAATAAAAATATATTTTATACACCGCATTTACATTAAGTCCCCTCTTACCTTAAATTTACTCTTCTTGATTGTCTTTCAGGATATTTTTCTGACAATGATTTGAAATACAATGTGTTGGAACTTCCATACAAAGGAGACAAGATCAGCTTAGTATTAGCTCTCCCAGCAGAAAATGTGGAAATAGAGGCTCTTGAAAAAAAGCTGACAGAACCAGTGCTAAGGGAATGGAGCACTAAGCTGACACAGGAAATGGTTGAAATTAGCTTGCCTAGGTGAGATGTTTAGGTGCTAAGAAAAAGATACAAATGCCAACTCTGGGAGCATTTACATCATTTACTCCTACTGATCTCTCACGTACCACCCCTTAAAAAGGGTCATGACACTTCGGAAGTCAAATATCAACAATGGTCATTCAGGGTAGAATGGTAGAATATCATCAACACAGGCCAGTGCTACTAAACAGTCCATATCCCTAGGGTACAACCATGTCACCACAACTGATCATGTAACCAGTACAATGTACATGTAATCATTTTAAGGCCCCCTCATTGTTTGCATTGCAATGCACAACCCTCCCAAAGCATACTGTGCATGTCTGCAAGATTTCCATCTCTCATTCCGCAAAGGGAACCGTATAATGTGGAACTGTAACGTTATCCATTCTGGTTAATTTAGTCCATATAACCCCATAAGTACCTTCAAAGACCTTCTCCCATTCTACTGTCGAAAGTTAGTGATGCATGTCATAGGCCCTTATTTCCTTTTTTATAAAAAACACATAAAATACTTTCCTTGGCTTGCTTTGCTGGGACAATGAATTACACATAGAGGGTCATTTATAAATATGTCTGGGGTAAGAACTGATTGTGGTGCCCCGAAGTTACCAGTCAAATTCAAATCTGTGAAACAAAAGGACAATTTGAACATTTAAAGGGTTATTCACAAAAGAGCGAAGAGTTTGGAGAAGGAAGGAGAAGTGAACAACCTAGGAAAACATAGCTGATTTGGAAAAATTCTCCAATTCAGCTCACTTTCCAGTTCAGCTATTTTAGCTTAGATTGTTCACTTCTCCTGCCTTCTCCAAACTCTTCACTCTTTTGTAAATAACCCTGTAAGTCTTGAATTTGACTGGTTCCTGTGCAGTTACAATTTCTATTTCAGAGGCTTTTGTTAAAGCAGTCTACTGATAGAAAAAAAAAAATGGTGCTGATCAAAGAAGTTACCACGATAACTATTTCAAGTGGTTTTAATTTCTATGATATGGTTACCATGCACATATGGCTTTTTTTTTTTTTTTTAGTAAAAATCCATCTGCTTATGTAATCATCTTTAAAAGAGCATGTGAACAGTCCCACACTGTAAATAGTATGGCATAAATACTCACCAAAAATCAGATCTAAAAGTGATAGCCCGGATAACAGCATCATTTAAATATACTGTATTTTTTTTTTCTTTTTGCAGATTTAAAATAGAACATGAAGTTGATTTAAAGCGTTCTCTGCTTCATCTAAATGTGACCAAAGTGTTTGACCAAAATTGCAATCTTTCAGGAATAACAGGTGACTTGTACAAATTTTATGAATATAGTGTACTTAAGTTTCCTACAAACATTATCAGTTAAGATACTGGCTCTCCTTAACTTAAAAATGATACTTCACTCTTTAAATTAAAAGGACTCTTCCTGGAGCATCATTGGGCTGACATATGCCCTCCTTTAAAGCTTTTCAAACCAATGCAGATTACTTTCAACTTCCTTGTTGGGCTTACCTTCCAGGTGGGCTAGGGCAAATGCCTATTTGCCGACTGTTAGAATGGCTTCATGACTCAAAACAAGTATAATCCTTTCTAATACATTTCATGAAGCATGGACATGCAGGTCCCAGTCAAACAGGGTGATCAGGGATTCCTGTGGCAGGGACCTATGGATTCCTGTGGCAGGAATGCCAGGTGTCTCTGTTCAGATGTGCCCGTTCAAGTAAATTACAGGGTGTCCACATCTGTAAGCAGAAGTCCACAGGTAATCCTAGATGATATGATTACATGTGGTTTGGAATAGATGCCTGACGTTGGACGCATCTATCCTGCATCAAGTGACATGTGGACTGCCGCCTACAGATGTGGCTTCTGTAACCCTTTCATTCACTTGAACGGACCCAGCATCTGCATCTGAATGGGAATATCTGGCATTTCTGTGGCAAGAATCCATAGATTCTTGCCACAAGAATGTTAGATCATCCCATGTGAACAAAGCCTTATGCTAAAGCCAATTCATTTTTCCTGCTACTAATCTTTGTAGCTATGCAAAGCATTCAGTGAAAGAATAACCTTAAACCAATTATTTCCATTTTTTTCTTTTGCCCAGACTAGGCAAAACCCATATACCTTTAGAGTTCGGTTAAAACCCACAGTGAGACGCTACCAACAGTCTTTATAGAATGACAGTAAGATGAACAGACACTTACTGTGTGCAGTACAGCCACCAATACTAAACTGAATATATGCCCCCAAAAATACTAAAGTGAGAAGATACAATGAAAACCAGAAGTTAGAAAGTGGAAGCGGGGATTGCCCAAGAAAAATTGGGTCCCCCTTTCAGCACCATCTTCATGCTAATGTGTTCCAGGCTGTTCACCACAGTACACGAGAAACTTAAAAATACACATTAAACATCTCTCACAACATTCTATAGCCTTCACTCATCACTGGATATTCTTCTTTTCACATCCTTCCACAGGATCACATTTAGAGGAGTAAAGATTCATAGTATATGATTCTTAATGAGAATCTGTGTTGTAAATTGATATTGGGCTCATGGGACGTTTCAGTGGTACATTTTCTGTGTTGTCATAAACTAACTGGTTTGTTTCTTAGATAGAAACTATTGTGGCTAAAATGTTTTCTTTGCAATCATAATCGTTACAGAGGAATGAATGAACCAGGGCTCAATTAAAATGACATAAAACTAGTGAGCAAACCAGGAATTACAATCAGCAGTTTTACCAGTGATCCCTGATAATGTTTAGGTTGGCTAGGTCTGTAAATGTTCAGGGAAGACAAATGAATCACAACATCTAAGAATTTTAAAGTAGAAGATCCACATTGGAATTGCATTTTGCCAGATTTTAATTACCGAACTTCTTGGAATCAATTGGTCTAGATACCTGGACATCCAGTTGTCCATGAATCCTACTGATCTAAAAAATATATAGCTTTAAAAGGAGGTTGTTAACCTCCTTCAGGAAATGTTACCTGCCTGGGTATCATGTTGACGCTCTTTCTTCAATACCTTAAATCACTGACCTGGAACAAGGATTCTGACTTTTCTCCAGCTTTCCTGGTCTGAATACATTTTCACTACTTAAAGTGACATTAAACCCTCAGATTTTTTAACATAAACCAATACTACTGTGTGCCTTACTGTAATCCATGGTAGTTTCCCTTCTCTTTGCTGCTCTTCCTTTTTAAATCCTCATGTCTTCTCATGCTTGGAGACAACTTCCCTTTTCAGCTCAGGGCCTCTTCCTGTAGTGCAGGTTCAGGTTACATGTCTATAAAAATGTATACACAGACACCGTGTATCCATTCCTGAGACAAGGCAGTCTGCTGCAAAACAGAAGTTCTGCAGAGCATGAGAGCAGATACGGATTAAAAGGAAGAGCAGCAAAGAGAAGGGAAACAACCTTGGATTACAGTAAGGCGCACATTACAGTATTGTTTTATGTTAAAAAATCTGAGGGTTTAATGTCACTTTAAGCCAGTGTGTCAACACAATGTCCAGGTGATTAGCATTTTCAGCAATGGAAGCCCAAATATCTTACATACTTTTATCTACCTCACCTTTCTAATGCAGTAAGTAGTAAAATACACATGGAAAAATGTTTTTCTTTATATCACCAAATCAAGCCAAAACCTAAACTCAGCCATGAAATGGGTTCTAATCTTTTCTCCTAGGAAATGTTTTTCTGTTGCTTTCTCGGCCCCTACTGAGGAGAGATTTACCTTCTCATCCTGTCTAGATGATCCCTTTTGCCAGACCAGTAGGTGAGAGGGAACATCCTCAATTAAAGCAACACTAAACTCAGGAGTTAAATCTTAAAAATGCATTCAACTACCTTAACTATTCACAAAAATGTATCTTATTTGTCTATTGCTCAGCTATAGATCCTCAAATCATCTCTAAATTCATGCCGACACTGTCCTTCCTTCTGGAGGGTGGCTACTTTTGTTCTACATGGTCCCTGTGTGTGTAGTAAAGTAGACACCACTCCAAGCTCACTCCTGTGATAGACTACAATCTCAATACAAATTAGTAAACTAAACATAAGATTGTAGTCCATCATGGGAGCGAGCTTGGAGCAGTGGCTATTTTATAACACAAACAGAGACCATCTGGAGTATGCGGTCCAGTTTTGGGCACCAGTGAACAGGGGGGATGTCCTTGAACTGGAGAGGGTCCAGAATCATAAAGGGGATGGAGGACCTGAGTTATGAGAACAGGCTTCTAAAATTAAACATGTTCTCCTTGGAAGTTAGGAGATTAAGGGGGGACGTGATTTTCATGTATAAAATGTTTTCCGGGAATAGTAACATTAGCAGCAAACTTTTTACGATTAACTCGATGACAAGGACGAGAGGCCACCACTTAAAATTGGTAGAGAAAAAATGTCAGCACAAGGGGCGAAGTGCGTTCTTCGCAGTTAGATCGGTCAAGGTATGGAACTCGCTGCCACATGCTGTGATTTCAGCTGGAGTGTGGAATCATTCAAGAGGTGATTGGACGATTTCCTAAGGGACCGTAATATACAGGGGTACAAGTACTCTTAAAATTGATAACACACAAGGGACCTATACATACTACACACCAATAGGACCATACACACATACACCTCAAATACTATGTAACTATGTAACCATGGGGAACAGAAGTAGCCCCCCTCCAGAAGGAAGGACAGTGTCAGCACCAATTCAGAGATGATTTGCTGGGAGACACAGGTAAGCTAAATTTTTGTTAATAATTAAGGTATTTGAATGCATTTTTTATTTAGACTTATCTCTTTAGTTTAGTGTCGCCATAAGACACAGACAGCATATAAAACCGGAGTGGGGTTCTAACCCTATCCCACACTATCCAGAACAAAATGTTTTGGCTAAAATTGGGTTTTAAGAAGATATGCGATTTATAACTTTTATGGTATGGTGGTCATTGTGGATGTATTTTTATAACATTTAGCTGGTCAAGATAATATAGTATATCAGTGGGTGTATTGGAAAAAAAGCAATCCGCATATTGACCTGTGAACAATTCCAGGAAAAACTGAGCCCACATCAAGTGTGCCTTAACCGGGTCTTAAATAGATGATTGTATAACCCATTTCAGTTAAAGCTTCCTAGGAGCTAACTATTTTGCTATTTGCAGTTTAGTAATCACTTTCCGACAACATCATTCTTTGCTGATTTCCAGATATTGTCTGTTGTGCGTAATATGAGCAGAAAGGGTAAATTATCAAGATTATACATAAATCCTCTGTGATCTGCCATGTATTTCACCAAGTGTATTTAATATGTTTGTAGATACATCAGATATATACATTTCAAAGGCGGTTCAAAAAGTTTCTATTGAAATTAATGAAGCTGGGAGTGAAGCAGCTGCAGCTACAGGTACAACAAACAGATAAACATTCTTCATACTTCAGTGGGTATTATTACAAATATGAGGACTGTAAAAGAAAAGAAATGCTGATATTTAGGAGTATGTATAGGCAAAAAAGGTTGTGAGGACATAAAGGATCGCTCACCACTTGCATCAATGAGCCTTTTTGCACCCATGACCCTGTCACTGGTTTTCCTTCCTTGGACTACTTTTGGTATGTCCTGACCACTACGGACCGGGAACATCCCACATGAGCTGCAGTTTTGGAGTTGCTCTGACCCAGTCATCTAGCCATCACAATTTGGCCCTTGTCAAAGTCTCTCAAATCCTTAAGCTTGTCCATTCTGCTTCCAACAAATCAACTTCAGGGACAAAATGTTCACTTGCTGCCTAATATATCCCACCCACTTCCAAGTGCCATTGTAACCAGATAATCAGTGTTATTCACTTCACCTCTTAGTGGTCATAATGTTAGGGCTCCCAAACATGTGATCACTGCGATTACAGTTATTACATGATTGGGAAGCCCATGTAACATCTTTGGCTTTAAGATTTTTAAAAAAGAGCTGGCCCCTGCCAATGGGAAGGGGTTAAAGGTTATATTAAAGTAAAAAGGTTTTCAAACATTTTAAATGCTAGTTAAATCACTTACAATGGATGCTGCTCCTTCTTGTTTAAAGTTTTCCTGTAGTATCAGCTGGTCCCCTGAGCACTGACCCTGATATCCTGTTTTAGGGTCGCTCCTTTCCCTTGCAGTGTCTCCACAAACAACAGGCACAGCAAAACAATCCATTGGCCTCTCCCCCTCCCACTATCCCTCTTCCCTTCTTTGAGCTAGTAGATTAAGAGCTGCTGGAGACTGTGCTTTCCCTTGTGATTTTGTAATGGACAGGAAGCTCTAGGAAGCAGAGCTGAGAGAGTTGGAGTCAGCTGGAAACATGATGACTGTAAGTGTTTGGGCAAAAATGTAAAGAAATACTTTTCTGGGCAATGGATGTTTGTTTGATCTGGATTTATTATTAAAACAAGTTTGAGAAAGTAATACTTCTTTAATAACTGTGAATAACTTCACAGTACAAACAGCTAGATAGGACAGTGATGGCTTGTTTTAAAGCTCTGTACAGTTTTTTTTGTAAATACTATGTAAATAATAAATAAAGTTTGGTAGAACATTTACACACATTTGGAGGATGTTGGTAATGCCATGGGATAAATCACTTCAATAAAGTTGAAAATCTCTGGCCTAGAGAACTAAAGCTAACACGTTAACACTGCATTTTCCAGGAATGCAGGTTGCTGCAATGAGCATGACCAATCACAGATTTGTAGCCGATCGCCCTTTCCTGTTTCTTATTCGGCACAATGAATCAGGTGAGTTGATCTTTACAAATACTAAATCTTTTTTAGAATGTGTTTTATTATTTATTCAAGTTATAATCAGGTTAGTCCATAAACTATAACAGAATAAACAAGGACAAAGCCTGTCGCTTGCCTTCAATTGCTATGCACTTTTGTGACATCTGATCTAGTTAATGGCTCAGCAGATGACAACAGCAAATAAAATTATTTACTTTAAGGTTGACAGTGCATAGTAATTGTTTGTCACTCAAAATCACACATCAGATTTCATTATTGGCCACATAGTTCACTGTGCATAAATAACAAAAATGTATGTGGTTGTCTCTATGTGTACTTAAGATTAAATGTAATATATCAGTAGAGTATTGCATGCTAAGTTAATTTTAAACACAGATTTAAAGCACACTTCAGTTAAAATAATGTTGAAGCCCAACTCTGGGCTCAGGTTCCCCATTACTTTTTGCTCCCTTGCCTCGCAAAAATAAATAAATATGTGTTTATATATATAT